GCCCTTCAGATCTGTTAAAACCCCCCGAACCTGAAAACGCCGAAGCAAAGGAGACTGACAATGAATCGACTCACTCAGACCAAAGCACTCAACGGTCGAAGGGTGCGCCTCAGATCCAGGGCTCCTCAGTCCTAACTACCTCTTCAATTCCGTCCCCTTGGTGAAGGCTAGCGAGGCCTATTTCCGTGAACTCCCTGCCTGTTGCCGATACAGACCAAGCCATAGCGGGCGCGCGTGAGCGACACATTGAGCAGCTTGGGATTTGAAAGAATCCCAAGGTTGCAGCTGCACATCTCGCGCAGCGCTCGGCTTTGCTTCTCCTTCGACTGACTCACACCAATGCAATCTGGCTGAAGCTCGTAAACGTCCTCGACCACACTCCGTACGCAGCTGATGATGATGAACCTCAGATCCAGAGTTGTGAATGGCTGAGTTCCCGTTGCTTGGACGGACTCCTACCAAGGTCACCAGATGGCCTGCCTTAGAAGTTGGATACTGAGGGACCTGTGTTCTAGATCTCTCAACGAACCCTTTCACTAATCAGAATGAGTAATCCAAGCAGAGGGCCCGCCTCAAGTGCCGCGGACCAGTTGAATTGCACAACCACCAGAATGACTCCGCTAATGATCAGAAAGGAACCTAAAAGGGGTCCTTTTGAAAAAGGAGATTCGTTCCTGGAAATGGATGGTTTCTGATTGGGTGTAAGCATGTGAATCAAGACCTCACACAAGTAACCCTGCTGATAGAAAAATCTGACCGTTGAACCTGGAAGCTCTCTCTCGCTTCCCTGCAGGGCATGCACAGTGCCCACCAGAATGTCACGAGAGTCTTTCAGTCTCTGCCGAAGTCTGGCCACGATCTCCTGCTGCTGGGCATTGTATGGCGTGATGATGGCAATGTCGCTAGGAGAGCAGCCAGCGTCCAACAGAATTTTGCAGGCTTCCAGAACCAATTTTGCCTCTCCACTGTTCTTCAAGGAAGTTTTGCTCTCCATGAAAGAGCTCGTCCCTTGCATGGTTGCCCACTCTCACCAGGGTGGGTCGCAGGAAGCTCACGTTTAGACACACTTAAACCAGTCAAACAAACTATTCCCTGGGTCCATTCAAGCGGCAATCTTGAAAGTATTGGTCCAGCGACACTCTTGAAAGCATGACATCTTCTCGGTTGCTTTCTGCTCCCTTGCTAAAAGTTTGACTTTTAGTGGTTTAATGGAAAACCCATGAGTTGGCAAAAAAGTTAAAGTCCTAACATCCAAGCAAATGCACCAAAGTCTTCTTCCTAAAAGCAGTTTTGCCGCCACCCCTGCTGGTAACTGCCGATAATTGCCACCTGATCCCTGGCACATCCCCCCCGCCTTGGCCGCCCCCCCACTCCACGGAGAGTCCGAAGCATTGCGGCGTCTGGCAGTCCACGAAGAGCACGTGCTCATCTTTTGTCGGCCACAAGCGCGCCAGCTCTGGCCGGTGGGTCACCGTGACACCGTCCTCATAGCTCAGAATCCGTAAGGCTTCACCTTAGGGGATATCACATGACCCCCCCATTCAACCCCAGTAAAACGGCTAAGTCGTACAAAATCAACAATTCTATTTGCAAGTGTTTTTTCCTGGATGCTTGTTGTCGTGTATTGGTCACCCCTTTCCAGTAAAGCCTTCGGTATTGGGACCCGTTGGGAAATAAGGGCACCAGGTGGGGATTGCATGCTATAGTTGAACGGCTGGGCAGGGGATTTGAATGGCAGCTGGTCTGAAAGGGCAAGCGCTAGCCAAAACTCAGGCGACTAGTCAACACTCCCGCATGCTGTATAGGCCACAGAATCTGCTTTTTAACCATCCCAATTTGAAGTGAGTTCCATCATTCTCACTAAAAGAGGACAGCCCTACAACCAGCATTTTTCCGCAGCGTTGGTCGGCACATTCCGCAACTTACCCCGGTCCTCGAGCTGGGAGTTGTAGAACTGAGTGGATGGGAATTTCCGGATGGAGGGGTGCATCCGGTACTGCACGTTCAGCAGGGTGTTGGCTGAATGTTGCTGAGGCTTCTGCAACATCCTCTCCAAAAATGGGGTCTCTAATACGTTGATGTAGGAATCGCACAGGTTGCTCTCGGCTACTACGGGACCCAACTGCTTGTGGTCGCCCACCACAACCACGCGAACACTTGCGAGCATAAATGAGATCACGACATCCGGTTCGCTGGCCTGGGCTGCTTCATCGATGATGACGGAGGTGAACTTAATCGGCCGATGAACCCTGGAGAAGTCGTTGTTCTTCACCCAGTTCAGGGCCGTATGCAAGTAAGAGTTTGTCACCGTGGTGACCTCGCGTTCCCAAAGCGCAAGTAAGTATGAATGAATGGTGTATTTTTGGAGGCCGTGACGAAACAAAACAAGGACACCAGAAGCTCAAAAGGTTGTCTTGCGCTTCCTAACGCAAATCCCAATTATCTGCATTGATCTTAATATTTCACCAAAGGGCTTAAAACTAAACACTTTGAACATCCGAGTGACTACCACCCTGCTCTGATTGAGCACGCGTTGCTCCGCCTCCTCGTAGCTAGCGCCGAAGCCCAAATCCCTCATGGGCGCTTGAGACGCCTTCCGGTGAAGCGCCTGGCATCCGAATGCTGCAAAACCAAGTTTGAAGCCACGGATGTGCACAAACTATGTATATATAGTCTTCAGGACATCCCTTTGAGATAGTGTTCATTGCTTTCTGGGGTGTCCAACATAGATCTCGTGTATTTTAGGGTTACATGAGCTATTGGGCATGCACACAAGGGAACATGATGTCGACCCCCCGTCTTTGTGGTTGGACTTTGAGTGTCTCCTCTATTTATTGTGGAGTCATGCGCACCAGTGATTGATCACACCCCTATGCCTTATGCGAAACAAGAAACTAACCCAAGAAACTCTACGGCCATCTTGCCCTAAATCTTATGCTTGCACAGGCTCTGCTTTTGGATGTCTTTGGACGTCCAACCTCTTCCAACCCGGCGCGACCCCACTCCAGCCGTACCGCCAGGGAGCCTCATTGATTCTATTTGATTGCGCATTCACCAATGTTCCTTTACACGAAGCTAGCAGAAACTAAAAGCTGGGTCCATGTTCATGACGGTTTCTTTGTGTAAAGTACGTGCAAACAACATCCCAACAAACTGTCAGCCAAGAAACACCCCAACAAAGACATGCAACTTACATCATGAAGTCCTAAAACAAACACAGCCTTGAAATGAGGTTCGGGCTGGCTTCTGTGGCTAACCTTTCAAAGTTTTGCGGGGGCAGGTCCTTTCGTTGGATTCTAATCTGCGGTGTTATTTTATTACCAACTTCTCTGTATAACACCAGCCAGAAGTCAAACTTCGGGCAGTCCATGTTTATGATGTACACCCTGTTCAAGCGACATCCCAACACTGTCACCCCAAAAAAACAACGCAGGTCCTGTGACACCAAAAGCACCTTTAAAGTAAAGCTAATGAGGTCTGGGCCACTCTCTGAAAATTGATTCTAAGGAAAACACGAATTCACAAAATGGTATTGCGCATGTTTAAATTGTCTTGCCACATGTCTGGAAGACTGCAATGCAAAACAAACCAAACTCCGACGTACCATGGAGCACTCGCCCTTCTTAGACAGCATTGCCAGACTTCCTGTAACGTGACCATAATGCGAAACCATTTCAAAGGTCGTCTTGCTCCCTGCTAAAGTAGCTTTGCCAGACTTCCCAAATCTGTCAAATGTTTATTTATGGGCTTTAAAGGGGCGGCCTTTACTACATAGTCAGAGGTGGACATCATTGTCAGCGACTGTACCTGAACTCATCAAGCTTCATCAGTGTAACTCCTGGGATGATCATGAAATCTGACGCAATATTAATTTCAGAACACTAAGCCTCTCCGGACCAGTCAGCGACTCCCAAATTGGTGGGACCATGACCTATCTTGCGGTGGGAGTAGCGCGGGCCTGCGCAGCAACGTCCGGCTTGATGTCGAAGGCGTCGTGGCGGATCTGCGGACCGCCCTGATAGCTGCTGCCATCTGCTCGCTCGATGGACCGCGAGTATACCCGCGTCAGGAAGATAGGTGGCACGCCTGAGTTTTGATTTCTGAGACATCCGTTGGAAATCTGGGGCCGCGGCTGTTGCAAAGTTGCCCACAGAAACCGTACCCTCAAAACTGGGCTGCCCTCAGATCCCCCGCTAAAAGCTTCACTTTTAGTGGGTCAAATGGAAACTACCACTAAACACTAAAAGGCTAAAAAGCTAAAAAGCTAAGGGGATGGCTGGGAGCCACCAAGAAAACACGCTCCGCTCAGCTCTGAGTGGCTGGTGTCCCTCAGCAGGCGCCGCACGATCTCGTCCGCCGCGTGGTTGGAGGGCGCCAGCACCAGCAGTCGCTGCCAACGACTGGAGCGCTGCGTGTCGAGGCTCAGCATCGCGGTGATGAGGTTCACCAGAAAGGAGGCTGAGTCCGGCGGCATTTCACGTATTAAGATGCCCAAGAAGAGGTGCCCCCTCTTGTGAGCCTCTGTTTTGGTTTCCCCCAGATTCCCGAGTACCCCGGTAAGCCGGCTCTTACAGAAGGATTATGAGAGTCAGAGTTCACCCGACTGGCCGGTAGTGCTGGACATCCCGCCCCAAAATTGGAGCCCCGAGAAGCCAGCCAAGATCTCGCTAGTGATTTGCACATGTGCGTCCAACAAACCGAACTGTGGCCCTGCCATCTTTATTTTGGTTAAACAATTGAGGCAGCATCAAAATCCGCCCTTTCCACATTCCGCTGCGCTGGTTGGAAGAGAATCCTGAAAATGTTCAAACCGCAACATGGGCACTGATCTACCTTGCGAGGTACTTCACTATTTACAAACTCCTCCAGATTCTGGTATTATGTACTCCCCCACAACTTACCAGGATTTCGCAAAAAGGGGGTGTCCATTTCCCAAAGGGAGTTTCCTCTGGAAATTCCGGTTTTTAGGCTCCACACTCACCTGCAAGAAAAAGGCCTTT